GGGGGTGGGCGAGTGTGAGCATCCCGGGGCGCCTTGGCACCGGGGCGAGGGGGAGGAGGAACCGTTCTGAAATGCGGGCTGACTGAGAGCGGTATTTGTTCGGCTTCTTGTGAAATGCCCACTGTTTCAGCGCTTGAAATTAAACATGGAAAGGGTAGAAGGCAGACGGAGAACAAAATCTCAGCTGCAACTGTGATAATTGTTTTTTCCCCTGAGCAATAGAGCCTTTATGCTGCTTTCCTGCTTTTAACATTGTTTTACAAGTATTTCTACTTGTTATTTTACAGTACATTTCAGTCAGCTTATCTTCATTAAAAATACTGCGGTTTTGCTTTTACTTTGAGGTAACTAAATTGTATGACTTCTCCCAAGAGAAGGAAAACAAAAACAAAAGCCATTAGCAAAAAGCTAGATTTCTACGGTGTAAACGGCGAGGTAAGTTGAGAGAACCGTGGGTCAGAGACACGTTGGGCAGCGATGGGGCTCTGTCTGCCCTTCTGCGTCTGGCTGGGCCGTCCCTCTGACCTCCTCTGAGCCTAGCTGGGCAACCGCTCCAGACATGCACCCCCAGGGTTTGTTAGCTGACTTCAGGCAACAGCCTGCTAACAGCGCAGCTCTGTTTTAAAATCCGAACTGCTGTCCTAGAATAGGGCTGCAGCTGCAAGCCTGTAGTACAGCCAGAGAGGTTGTACGCTGTAGGCGTAGTTAAGATCAACTGTAGGCAAGAGTGGTGGGCTGAGCTCAGCAAGAGTACTTCTGGATAAAACGAAATTCTTGCAAAATTTTTGTGTAATTTGTACGTGTTCTTTATTCTGTGATAAATGGAAGGAATGAAAAAAAAAAAAAAAAGAAAGTTTGGCTCAGATTTGTCACTCAACCTCTGCTAATTCCTGATATTAATGTGCAAAAGGGAAGGAAAACAGGAACAACGCTAGGAATGGAATTTATAGCTGAGCTCAGATTTCATTAAAGGAAGGACTCACCCCCCCTCCAAGAAGATTTTTGAGTATGGTTATATAATTAGTAATGAAGCTGTCCCTTCATCACATTGTTTTATTTCACTGCTGTGCATACACTGTTGGTGTAAAAAGTGGAACAAATTATGTTTATCAAAAAACGTTTTCTCTTGGCTTCAAAACATTATAAAAATATTGTCAGTGACTTGTAGATGAATATTTAGGGAGGAAAAAATAGTTGTTGATAGAAATATATTATCACTACAAATATGTTTACTGCGGATCAGTTGCTGCTTGTTTTAAGGTCTGCGGTTTTGTTCCTTTATTCCTCTCTCCAGGATTTGGAATGCTTTGACTGATAATTATGGTAACGTAATGCCAGTTGACTGGAAATCATCCCACACCAGAGCTTTGCACTTGCCAACGCTGAATCTTTCAGAAAAGGGGGTAAGTTCTGATCAGCAGAAATACCCGCTTTGAATCTTTTGTACTCAGCAGGGAATGAAACAACTTGTGTTTGTGTGAAAGAGCGTTGTTATTAAATGGCTTAAAATATTTTTAGTGTTTGGCATTATACATGAGTGGGTTTTAAAAATAAAAAAATCAAACAACCATTGATGTACGTTTGCATCTCCTTGGGTTGGAATAGTTTGGGGTTCGTTTTAGGTGGATGTTTGTTAAGAGCCAGAACATGGTAGAAAAACCTGTAAAATGAGGAGAAAGTATTTCACATAAAATCTTTCTACTGTCTGTTTCATGTTGATCACTATTCTGGGTAAGGGAAGAAAAGAGATGGGAGTACTCTCATTTTGTAAATCTAGTGTGGACTTTTTTAAAGTTAATCTCATTCTGCAGTGTGGTGGAGACAAAGTAAAAGGAGACTTTTACAGGAAAGGTGACCCAGGAGACACTGAAGTGGAAGAGTCTGGTTTGGTTTTTTTTTCTTATTAAGCAAGGAGAATAGTTGTCTGGGGAGGGAGCAGGGAATGAAGAGCTTTAGAGAGGTTTATGGAAAGGGTTGTCCTCTGATCTTCTTAAAAGTGGATTAAAACGCTTCAGGGAGAAAAGCTAGGGAGAACTCCCATCTCCCAGGTCTTCTGAGGAAAGAAGTGGCTTATCGTTTAAACATAGGGAAGTTGAGTTATGTTGCAAAAATCTCTCTGTGTGTAACCTGGGAGTGGGGAAATGCTTTGACTTCTGCCATCCCTTACATAAACCAGAGCTACTTTTTACTGTGACAGGAACAAAGATTGTCCTGCTGA